CCCCCGGGCGGGGCGGGGCCGGGGGGGCCCGGGCACCTCGGCGGCATACTGATGCCGACCTGTTCCGATACTGCTTTAGATTCGTGTGTGTTCACATTTCTGTCACACCTTGGGGAAAACGCGTGTATTTTAGTGCGAGGGAAGTGTCTCACTAACACAGGGTGAGAGCGGCTTCAGGCACGGCCCTTCAGACCGAAGGAATTTTCCCCATAAGCATCGAGAAGAGGTGGCTGCATTAGTATTTAGTTTTGCTTGGTGGTTTTGGGCTTTTTTCCCCCAAATCCTTGCACTCTTCCGTTTGATTTCCCCAAATAATTCATTGAAGTCAATGCCCTGCCACGCTGAAATATTGCCAACTTCAGCTTCTGCGTAGTTTCTGCCTTAAAGTAGCAATCCTTTAAATACAATATAAAGAATAAATGGCAGGTTGTCAAAAACAATAACAATACCCAAAATAATACCCAAAAGGGCTTCCCCATTTCCAGAACCCACCTCTAGCACATGGCTCTTCATCCTCAGAGGTGTCAAACAAACCCCGAAACCCAGACGGGCTCTGCCCTACCTGACTGCCAGCAGCCTAATTTGCAACACACTGTGTAACAGAAGGGAGAGAGGAAAATTATATCCCTGCTTGTCCTTTTTGAATCAAGTTCTGACTTTGCACCCAGCAAAGCGCTTGGAAAATTACAGCTACTGCTGGAGAAACATTATCTCGTTCAGCCAGCGAGTAAGAGTTGCTGAAGACAACAGATGGGATTTCACAAGGGAGATCAACAGTTGTTCCCTCCCAGCGCACTCCTCGAGAAAGCTACCTCCTCTCTGGGGGATCAAAGGCAATCACCCACACAGAAATGTGGAAGTAGTTCGGCTCCAATGGCAGGGAAAAATTACAGAGATTTATACTTGGTTTAACTGCCATCACAGGGTTGAAGAAGTTCGTGATTGTTCAGCAAAACATAATTTTATTCTTTTGTTTTTTGGTGAGAAAATTCTGTGCTTCAAGCAAACATAGGGCTTCTCTTGCAGGAGGGTGGTCCCACTCAAATTACTGTGCAGCGTCACGAACACGCTCTGGTACTGGCAGGACTGGAACTTGATTACAAACCAGCCCGGGGAGAGCCGGCCGGTCCCTGTGCCAAGCCTGCGCTTTGACATCCCGCCAGCGTTGCCTTGGCGGAGCGTAGGCAGAAACACTCTGCAAACAGCTCTGCCCCAGTGACTTGGTCGAGGTCGCATAGAAAATCCTTGGCAGAGCTGTGAATAGAAGGAGGTGATGCTGTCCCACGGAAGAGAAGAGGGAAGCCTCAGTTAGGCAAAATGCCTCCTTCTCCCCTAAATCCTGAAGCTGCAGGCTCATTTGGTAACAGGGTTATGCTTTACCTGACAAGGTCAGGCTCTTTGGAGCATGTTGCTTTTAAAATGGATCTGCCAAAAGTTCCCTGCAAACAGCAGGCTGTTTCTGTGATTAATTAAGGGTACATCTGCAGTGCATCAAGGGTAGCCTTGTGTATACCACAGTGCATTTTTACTGTCAGCAAGTCTTAAATGTTATATATAGTTTCTGTTGCCCTAATACAAGCATAATAACTTTGTGGTTCACTCAGATTTATGCCTGTTTCACACAAAGGCTCCTATTAACAAACTTGATGTGACTCCTGTTGGGGAAGCTAGTCAGAATGTTAATCGATTAATAGAAATAATTCCTAAATTTCAGTGCTTCATTTGTAACGAAAATTGCATCCCCATATTGTGGCTGGTAATATGAACCAGCCTACTGTCTGGCAATAGATAATACCTTGGTTGTCCTTCACAGGGTATCAATGCTGCTCTCTTCTGGGCAGATTATATCATGCTGCTCCTAAAGGCATTCAAAGAAACTAATGGATAAACCCTCGAATCTGAAAAGTGCATGTGCTTGGTGCTGCGATCAGCAGAAAAGGATACTAATTACTTTCCACCCTTTACTTCTGAAGAGTTGGTGGCAGTGGCAGCATGCAGGAGGGCAGACTTCGGTGACGTTCAGACCGGTGAAGCTCATAGCCTTCCTACCTACCACCCGGCGCGAAGGAAAAGTACCTCAAGTAACACTTTCCCCCTCTTTTGCATCTGAACCTTATCCCGGAAGTTTTTACATTATGGTGTGTTTGCTAGAAATTCCCATCCTGCTGCTGCCAAAGTAAGTCTTTAAAATAGTGACTTCCCTTTAAGGGTAGGCATTTAGAAGTGTTCCCTGCAACAGCAGATGAAGACAGCAGACAAGTGCTTCACAGGCTGAGGCATTCAAAGCTTCACTTGTCTTATACCCTGTATTTTAGTGAGATAGGCTTCCCTACTTGTGTTTGCAGGGCAGTTGTTAAATAACAATACCAGCAAAATTTTCAGCCTTATCAGGAATTAGTCTGGGATGGGTTTAGGCTTCCCAGAGCTGTGAAATTTGCATTATGCCGCATGTGCTTGGCATATCAGCAGCGCTGAAACGCGGTCTAGCCCCTCACATAACACCACCAAGCCCGTTGTTCCTTTTAGGCCAGAACTGGGGAAGGAGCATCAGGAGAAAGCCTTTGATAAACTTTGTGCTTGGAAGTATTTCCTCAGCTGCCCACGGGGTCCACAAGGATTCTTTATCTATCCAGGAATGGAAGAAATATTTGTGTTATTTTGTGTATCATAAATGTGTCAGTTTTCTTGCCCAAGGTTCTTTTTGCTGGCTGCAGGGAGGTCAATGAAAAGAAATTGTTAGGGGGGGCCAAAATGCAATAGGACCAAGAAAGGGATAAGGTGTGGGGAGGTGTAGAAGGTCTGTGTGGATATAGTGTACCAACTCTTTTTAAGACAGCATCTCTGAGTCTGTTTTTTGAGAAATACCAGTGAGAAACACCATTCCCAGAAAACCTAGCAGCTCTGCTTTTCCAGATCCAGGCAGTAAGTTTTAAAAAACCCCTAA